GAGTGAGTGAGGGATTTTGGGAGTGAGTTTTTGCAGGGGCATTTTTTTTTTTTTTTTGCATCCCCCCCCCCCCCCCCCCCCCCCCACCACCCCACCACCCCCACCCGCAGTGGGCGCGCACCAGGCCACGCTGCAGCGCCTCATGGACTGGGCGGCGGTGGCCGAGGAGTGCGGCCTGCGGCGGCTGTGGACCAAGTGCGTGCGGGAGGTGGCGGTGACGCTGGCGCGGCAGCGGCAGGGCGGCTGCACCGTGCGCACGGTATCGTCGCAGGACCTGCAGGCCAAGCTGCAGGTGGGGGGGCTGGCGCTGCGCTGTGCTGTGCATGCTGTGCGTGCTGCGTGTGCTGTGCATGGTATGCGTGGTGTGGGGCATGTGAGCGTGTGGGGCGAGTGGTGTGTGCTGCTGGCGCCTGGGGCTGGCTGTGTGCTGGCTGTGTGTGGGTGTGTTGTACGTGTGTGGCAGAAAAGGGGGATGCATCGGCGCCCTCCACCTCACTCTGTGGCGTGTGGGCGTGGATTGGCGTGCGGCTGTGTCCTGTTTGTCTCTGTCCTTGCCTTCCGCCCCGCCCCGAACTCATTCTGTAAGCGCTGGCTGCAAGTGCAGGGCGTGGCGCTCAACGGCATGCCCAGGGTGCCATCCAGCTCGGCGCTGGCCCCGGGGGCAGACGCCTCCACCACCGCCGCCCACGACGTGGCGCTGCTGCGGGTGCGGCCGCTTCCACTGCTGGCGCCGCGGCTGGTGCAGCTGCTGCGGCTGCTTTCTCAGCCCTCCAGGGCCGCCAGCACCTGCCCCAGCCGCTGCCACTCTTCTGCACCGCTGCGTCCGCCTCTGCGTTGCTGCCATGCTGCGGCCCTGGCCGTGCCTCCCCCATGCTCCTCACACCAGCGCACCCCCTACGCACACTCACTAACCGCCCACCCGTGCGCTGCCCCTGCCCTCCCTGCCCTCCCCGCAGGCCATGACCCCCAAGGCGCAGCTGGCAGTGATGGCGGCGCTGCTGGCGGGGCTGCGCAAGGCGGGGGGCGACCCCGCCCTGCTCATCCCCGCAGAGGCCAGCCTGGGCTCGGGGCTACCCAGTATTTGGAAGCTGAGGGCCGCGCCAGGCTCGCCTGCCGGGGAGCTGGTGTGATGAGCGATGAGCGATGCCGGCACGCTGGGAGTGCCTGCGTCTGTGCTCCTGGTGTGAGAGAGCGGGGCCGGTGGCAGCCCGTGCGTCGCGTTGGGCTTGCCCTGGCGCCGCCGGTCTGACTCCGGCCTGCACAGCCATGCAGCGCTGGAACTGCCAATGGTCAGCTCCAGCATGGCATCCACAATCAGCTGGTACAGCACAGTGCGTCCGCCAGCCCTCCGCCTCACGAAAGAGAGGATAGTTGAGGTGGGCGGGTGCGGCCCGCCGCTCCGCCCCACCCCTGTTTGATGTGCGATTGTTTTCTTTGAATGGTCGAGTGCGCCACCCGGCAGGCCGCCCACAAGCCCCTGCCCCGATCCTGCCAAACTTAATCCTGCTATCTCCTGCCCTTGGCTCATCGCCTTGGGTGGGTGCCGCGATTGCGATCCTCATGAAAGCATAGTGCGAAGCTGTCTGCTCTTCCATTAGTCTATCTGTGTGCCTGCTTATGCTCCTGCATCTCATCCGTAGCGCCTGTATTTTGCTGTTCTTTGGCATTGCTCCCCTATTGGACTGAGCCCCCATCCCCTTGCCCCGCTGCGTGTTTAGCTGTTAGTGGCCAGAGTGCACGCCCCGATCAAGCCAGAAGCCCCTCCTGATCCCAAACCATCCATGCCAGATATTCATTCTACCCCTTCTGCTTTTGCCTCTCTTTCTGCCTATGAACGTCTTCTCTGCGGGCTTTGCTCCCTCCCTTTGCTTGCCCCCTGCGCCCTCCTTGCCAGCCGTACCGGGCCCGCCAACCACTGGTGGGCCCCAGTGGCATGGCATGCGCCCCTCCCCTTTGCAACAGCGCTGCCAACGTCAGATGCAACTAAGCAGAAGGCCGGTGCTCGGTCAACAAGGGCGAGCGGCGGGCGTGGCGGGCCCGCCTCCGAGAGCCTCAGAGCAGCCGCCAGAGCAGTCAGCCAGCAAGGTATCTACAGGCCCGCTACACCCGCGGGTCCACCAGCTGGATGTAGGGTATCTGCCGCTTGGCGCCGTCGTCGTCGCGCCCCCCGCCGCCGCGCCGCCGCCGCTGCAGCAAGTGGTCCACCTGTGGCGGTGCATGGGGGTGGCACCAGGCAAGGTGAGGCCTCGGCTCCCCCGCAAGTCATCAAGCACCAAACACCTCGCTGCGGCGCGCGAGGGGGCTAGCGGCGCTGGTGCTGCACAGCCTGCACTGCAGTACAGGATGAGATGCAGGCGGGGTGCGCGCTCACCAGCACCACACCATACACATCCCCCAACAGGTTGACCACCTGCACGGTCGGCGGCAGCGCAAGGCGGGAGGGCAGAGAGGCAGGCGTGGGACGGGGGCGGGCGTGGTAGGCCAAGGTGCCTGCTCGCCTCCCTGCACGCTGCCACACCCGGCAGCAGGCGGGCAGCCAGATTGGTCGGCAGGCATGTGGCCGTGCCTCTGCCTGCCAGCGCAGCGCACCGTGCGGCAGCGGTCCAGGAACCAGTCGAGCGCCAGGATCACCGCCAGGTCTGGAGGGGGAGGGGCAGGGCAGGGTCTGATCTGGGCCCCCTGGTCCGGGCGTTCGCCACCCGCCGCCGGCCTGCCCGCCCGCCCTTGCCTGCTGCGGTCCCTCCATCGACGCACTCTGCCCCACCGTCCCACCGCCCAGCTGAGACACACACACCAGCGCACACACCAGCGCAGTACCATGCAGACCCAGGCGGTACCGTGCCCACCTGGCGCGTACTGGTCCAGGCTGACCGCCTGCAGCACGATCAGCATGGTGACAAGGCCGGCCGAGGGGATGGCCGGGGCGCCCACCGCCGCCAGTGAGGCGGTGAAGGCGATGACCAGCAGCTGCGAGGCGCCCAGCGGCACGCCGTGGGCCTGCGGGGCGGTGTGTGTGTGTGTGTCTGTGTGTGTGTACGTGTGGGGAGTGGT